TCAATCATATTTCCAGCTGGTTGGTAGAATATTTCGAAATCTGCCCGTTATTTTTTTGAGCTTTGTGTGCCTATGTGTCCTATTTTGTTTTTTGCTTGTTTCTTTACATTTCTTTCTCAACTTTTCTTCCATTACTTACATTTGTTTAGGTGAACTTCACTATCGATGAGATCCGTGCGCTTATGGATCATAAAAAAAATATTCGTAACATGTCCGTTATCGCCCACGTCGACCATGGAAAATCCACCTTGACCGATTCGCTAGTTTCAAAAGCAGGTATTATTGCCGGTGCGAAAGCTGGAGAAACGCGTTTTACGGATACTCGAAAAGATGAGCAAGAACGTTGTATTACCATCAAGTCGACGTAAGTGCAAATCTTCCCTTTTTTGTACTTTGACGTCATCGAAAACTGTTTGATTACAGTGCCATATCTATGTTCTTCGAGCTTGAGGAGAAAGATCTTGACTTCATCAAGGGAGAAAACCAAATTGAGACTAATGAGGTGGACGGCAAGAAGAAGAAGTTCAATGGTTTTTTGATTAATCTAATCGATTCACCTGGCCACGTTGACTTCTCTTCTGAAGTAACAGCTGCTCTTCGTGTCACTGATGGAGCTCTTGTTGTTGTTGATTGTGTTTCTGGTAAGTTTTATGTTTTCGAAGAGGTGAAAGACGTTAAAGAACAGCTTGGTATAGATCGATTGCGAAATCGTTTTTTTTTTCTTTTAGGAGTTTGTGTCCAAACCGAGACTGTACTTCGTCAAGCAATCGCGGAAAGAATTAAGCCAATCCTGTTCATGAACAAAATGGATCGTGCTTTGCTTGAGTTGCAACTCGGAGCTGAAGAACTCTTCCAAACATTCCAACGTATCGTTGAAAACATCAACGTTATTATCGCCACGTATGGTGATGACGATGGCCCAATGGGAGCTATCATGGTCGATCCATCTGTGGGAAATGTCGGATTCGGTTCCGGTCTCCATGGTTGGGCTTTCACCCTAAAGCAGTTCTCTGAGATGTACGCCGAAAAGTTCGGAGTCCAGGTAAAAGATTTTTCCGTGTGCGCTGCAACTTTCAAGGTCGCCAAAGCGTTTGTATCACACCATTGATTGGGCTGTACTTTTGAGGGAGAAAAAACAGCTACAAAAAATGCACTAAATATAGATTGAGACAAGATCTTTGTTCGCGCCATTTGTGTGTTTCTTTGCGAAGAAAAAAAGTTCGCGGCGATTTGTATGAGGGAAAGATGAATCAGACTAGGGATTTTTCTTTTGTGTCTGAGGCCGGTCCAGACATAGCCGGTTCAAACAGTCCATCCGCTTCACCCCGTTCGCTATTGGTCAATTTAGTGATCTGATCAATAGAGAATGAATGAACCGAACGATCCGATTGTACCGGATAAGTCTGGCCCTATCTAGTTGTAAAATATAATGAAGGGAATTGAATGCAAAAGGTTTGCGTTTTGCATGAATGAGTCGCGAGAATACATTCCTGTTGGTAAATCCAAAGCTGAAAAAAGGCAATTTCGAGTTACGATAGCTATACGGTAAAGGAGTGTAATCTCAGGGTTTTTGGCGAAATTGCACATAGGTGGGTTAGGATACCCAGTTTGGAAAAACCTAGCCGGATTTTCACCAAAGCCTTTAGTTTAGAACCCCAGTGACTATCATAACTCTTAAGTTCCCGTTAGACACGCGCCATACTTGAGCTTGATCCGCTTCGCTATTGGTCAAATCGGCAAA